TGCCTGAGCAAATATTTAATGTGGATGAAACTGGCTTATTATGGAAGCACATGCCAGAACGGACGTACATCCACAAAGAGGTGAAAACAATGCCGGGAGAACCCAAGGGCTTTTAAACATGTCAGCAAGCACACACTGCCAGTGTTTTATAGCAGTAATAAGAAAGCATGGATGACCCTAGTACTGTCTGCAACAAGGGATTGCATTCAAGATTTTGTTAATTTTGGATAATGCTCCGGGACACCCACCAGACCTGGACGTCCTGCACCCTGATGTTAAGGTAGTCTAGATTCCACCTAACACTACCTCTATCATCCAACCCATGGATCAAGGTGCTATTGCTGCTTTAAAAGCAAATTATTTACGTACAACCTTCGCTCAGGCTGTTGTTGCTACTGAAGGTGAGAAAACGCTCAGAGAGTTTTGGAAGGACTAAAACATTTTGAAATGTATAAAGAACATAGCTGCAGCATGGGATGAGGTTACAGGGCAGTGCATGAATGGAATATGGAAGAAAGTCCTGAAAAGATATATGAACAGTTTCAGAGGATTTTGTAGGTTATGTATATAAGCTACTGTGCCGAGTAGCAACCTTGTATATAAGCTACTGTGCCGAGTAGCACCTATGTATATAATTACGTGGCAACACTGCACGTGTTATGTGGCAACATTGCCCCGAGGCTGCCATATGGCAAGGCAGCCTCAGTCTGACTCCATGGGCCGTGCATGGCACACGCTAGTCCCCACTTGTATTTCTCCTATCCGTTAATAAATGGACTTCAGTGTTACCCGGTGTTTCCCTACCCATCACTGCATTCTTCAGGGAACACTTGGAACCTTCAGATTTAATGAAGATGAAGTAATTTCTGAGAATAGTAACAAGATAGTGGAGTTGGGAACAGCTGGAGTTAGAAATTGATAATGAAGATGTTGAGCAGCTGGTTGAAAGTGTAGCAGAAGAGCTAAGTAACGAGAATCTTATTGAACTGGAAGCACAGAAAATTGCAAAGGAAGAAGGGAGTCAAAATGTGGAAGAAGAACCTGCACCCCCCAAAAAGTTTTCAGTGAAACAAATGGCAGAGGCATTTGCTACAATTAATAAGGGGATGCAAATGTTTGACGGAATGGATCAAAATGTTGAGCGTTTTGCAAAAGTTGACAGAATGATCCAAGATGCACTTGCTTGCTACAGGGAGATTTCCAATGAAAAGAAAAGGCAAACTGCACAGTCTAAATTGGACATATATTTAAAGAAGTCCCCCATTGCTGTCTCCTCACGCCCCACCAGTGCTGCCTCTTCACTCCCTAAAGATGATCCAATACCTTCAACAAGCAAGTTTCCCCTGCATGTTAACCTGTCTGAAGAAAGCGACATTAATAACCCACCCAGCCCTGTCTCCTCCTCTGCTTCATCCAGTTAATGTAGTCTCCATGTATAATTAAAAAATTATGGGGGCCCTGTGTGCATTCAGCTGACTACATTAAAGGTAAGTGCATAGTAACACTGTATTCATTCTTCATTATTGATTACTTTTACTGTACTGTATTTCATTTTAGATTTTCTATGAATTATTTTTTGCATTTTCGACTTACGATTAATTCGACTTATGACCTGGATTTGGGTCTCTAACCCTGTCATAAGTTGGGGAGCAGCTGTATAAAAAAAAGAAAAAAAAGTTTGTCCCAAAGATAAATGTCAGTATCATCTAAAACAGCAAGAAAACTAGCGAAAAAATTTATTTTTCATGTGTAAAAAGGTGATAGGTGGTTAACGAAAAATGACCCTTGTATCCGCTTGTAGTAGAACAATAGGTATAGGAACATACAGTTCACCTATATCCAATGCTACTTGTAAGGTATATATTGGAAATAAATCAAATCGTATAGCATGGGAATCGATTCCAACAATATGATCCACAAAATTTATAAACAGAATCTGTTTAAGAACCTAATGCATGGAAATAAAAAAAATGTATGGGATTTGCGCAGGTCACAGACTCACGACTCTAGATAATGAACCCCACTCAAAAAAAATAAATAAATAAAAATTTCAAACCTAAAAATTATATAAGATAGTAACAGCCCCAATAAGATTCTCCGTCAATAATTAACAATTTAAGTGAGGGCAGAATCAGAATTAATTTGTTTGCAAACAAACGAGGAATATTTAAGGTAAATATCAAATTTATTTGAATACAAAGCACATAGAGGCATCATTTTAGTGTCATATGATCAGTTTTTCACTGTGTTTTTACCCTGTAATTTCCCTCATCCTTCATGCCCTGCCCACTAGAGGTGATTTATGATCATAGATACAGTAGATTAAAGAAAAAAGATAAAAAATATTATAATTAAAATATAAAGTTGTCAAATTGATTTTATTATTGAATATCATCCAAACAACAACTGTGGAAAATATTAACAAAACATATAAATGCATTCGGGTGTTAAGCGTCTGCTCCACCTTTACCTTATTTACTATCATCCAAACAACATCTTTGGAGAAAATTAACCAGTTTTAAAAACTCTTCCAGTGCCATCCATCTCCTCTACTATTACCAGTAGCCGCAATATTACGGCCCCGGAACCATTCATTCTTTCTTATCATGAAGTAATTAACTTTTCTTCTACCAGTATGGAACAAATCCTTTTAAGTGGTTTCTCCCCTATTACTTTATATAATAGAGCTCCAATTTCCTGAAGCAGGTAATACTGCAGTAAACAGCAACCACAGAATTCCCGAAATTCACTACACTCAATCGATAGAACTATTTTTTTGGTATTATTGCGTTTTCACCACACAATCCTAGCACTAATCTATTATCATATCCGAATAAGACGTCTAATTATAAGATTTTTTTTCTATTACATTACCGGCGCAAATGTATAATAACGGAGATAGAGTATCCAAAATTTTCTCTATTTTCTTCCATTAATCTTCTGCCATTATCGCCTACCTCACCTCCCACATTGCGTGTCTCCTTCATAAATCATCACGCACATGCGTTCCCGTACACGTCACTCTGCCAATCAAAAGCGTTTTTTTTTTTGCAACCAATTAAAATTATTTTTGGTTTAATTTGCAGTATTTTTGGCCCAATCAAAATCGATTTTTATTTTGGGTCTCTCATATTTCCAAATTCATATTCATTTCCGACCATGGAGGTCTGTGATGGGTGTCACTTAAATTAAATGGAGCTGATTGCGAGTTTCTGGGAAAAAAACGAAGAAACCGTAGCATTTTTTCGATAGCATGGTGCTCTCCCGACCTCAGTAAAGTGTCATAAAAGCAAGACAATGTAAATATCGCAAAAACCAACATATGTGGCGTTGTCCTAACTCGTCTCTTATCCCAAAGACAAAGCAGAGACGGCAATAAGGTAAGAAATAGGTGATTCCATCATATGGTGAGTCAGTTAGGTTAGGTTTTTGTTTTTTCTAGTGTTTTTTGGTACATTTTTTATGAGCTTAGCCATTATTTTTTCGGAAAACGTCCCACGAAAAAAATTCGATAAAAAAAACCCGCCAATTTCCGCCGGAAATGAAGGTCATATTCAGTCTAAACACACAAATACACTAGAAAAATATATTTTTTACTTTCTAACAGTGTGGAGCACTTATGCAAATTTAGCATTTTTTCTATGATCATTTTCTTATATTACACTTACATCGCAAATTGATAATAAGGAAGTTATTGAATTTTAAAAAGAAAATCAGAGCACCTGTTGCTCCTACGCTGTTGCTCAAACTCTGTGTGTTTGTATGTTCGCTTTCGGAGTAAGGCAAGAAATACTGTAACAGCCGGTCCGACTAATTACCCAAATGTAGCCAAATGTAGCTGCAATGTAGTCAAATAATGGTCCTACATGAATAAATCGGACTGCCAATCACTTCTCGACTAGTATTTGGTGTCACAAAGTCACAGAAAATTGGAAAACTTACTTTAATCTGAGTTAATAGATCGCGTGCATGTACCGAGGGAGCGAGTAATTACCCAAATGTAGTCGCAATGAAGTCAAATGATGGTCGTACAAGCGTAAATCGGGTTGTGAATCACTTCTCGATTATTATTTGGTGTCATAAAGTCACAAAAAATTGGTAAACTTAATTTAATATGAGTTGCGTTAGGTTAGGTTAGGTACATGCACTCGATCTATTAACTCAGATTAAATTAAGTTTACCAATTTTTTGTGACTTCGTGACACCAAATACTAGTCGAGGTTAGGTTAGGTTAGGTACATGCGCTCGATCGATTAACCCAGATTAAATAAAGTTTATCAATTTATTGTGACTTCGTGACACCAAATACCAGTCGAGAAGTGATTGGCAGTCCGAATTATTCTTGTAAGACCATCATTTGACTTCATTGCGGCTACATTTGGGTAATTAGTCGGACCCCTGTAACAGCTATTTATATTCTCTGGGTTATTACATAGAGTCTGGGGACCATGGGCGGAGCACCCGGCTATGGGGTTAAATAAGGTTTAGTTTGGTTATACTGTATAAATTAGCAGGCACAAAGAACTGAGAATTCAAAACACGTAATCGATAGAACTATTTCTTCTACTATTTTTTTTTCGGAAATAACAGAATTTCTATTGAGTAATGTGTTCTTCTGATGTTTTCTTGTTGCAATTCGGACAATTTTGGAATTGACTTCTACCACAAATCACTCGTTTTGGCTCTTCCCCACCCAGAACCCCACATCCCCACACTTCCCCCTATTACTGTTAGAGGAGGGAGGAGGGGGAGGAGGGGGCTAAACCCAAAACGAATGATTTCCAATAAAAACAAATGTCAGATTTGAACCAATCGCAACAAAAACCATCAGAAATTACACTTTTTTATCAGATTCTTTGGTTATTGTAATCTGCAACTTTACCCTGAAGCCTGCTTTGAATTCAGCCCCTTATTGATCATATATGGTGAAGGTCGCCCTGCAAAATTGACGATGTTTCCTCCATAACTTATATTCACAAATATAATTTCAACAATCATACCTTTGGTTGAACGGTCGGACACGCACTGCTACTTTAACTGAAGCCATATTCATAAAAATATCACAGCCATAGGACAATGAGTCAAAGTTTGATCTGTACAAGCCTCAAGTGTCAACCCATCATTGTTTACACTGACGACCGCCGCTGTTCACTCCTTTCCTACCACTCACTATATGACTATCATTTATATAAATTATTATTATATATATAAATACAAATATAAATTATACAGTATTACGAAAAAGATAGAAAACCCCATTGCAGTATTCTTCTAACTCGATAATATTCTCTTCCACAATAAACAGTGTCCACTCGTAATTTGGATTAATTGCTTTACTATATTCTTTTCATTTTATTTATTCAGTATATCATATGTACCAATTTAATCATTGTATTTCCATTTAATTCAAAGGCGACTGTGAGAGGATACTGGACCAAAATATTAAAAGGCTAGTCTTTTAGGAAGCGGTAAATAAAATAGAAGAACAGTAGTGAAATTATAAAAAAATAAAAAAATCATATGATAGCAAGAAATACTGTTGGTCCTATCAGTCAAGAGCATCCCAAACAAACTCAGGCTGTCTTTATCAAATCTTCTCAAAAAATTATGTATATTGCCGGTAACTCAGATTTTAATCTTATTTATTCATCCCAGTCTTTGTCTTTCTCTGGATCTCCTTCCTCAAGTTTTGTCTTTAATAAAATATGCCATTGTCTTGTAGTGGATTTCTCCCCTACAAACGCTGTTTGTCTCTGCATAGCGGACCCCACGAATTCCCCAGTGTATGCCTCGTGGTCTAGGTCAACCAGCGCCGCCCACGAAGCGGGGGTCAACTATCTACCCACGCCTACCTCCACTATAAAAGACCTGACCTCGTGGTGACCGCTCTCTCTTCTTCTAGCTACAGCTGCAGCCAGCAACTAACACCACCTCCTCCGCCGCTGCCTGGCGGCCCTCGCTCCCGCCGGCGAGCATGGCGACCCACAAGCTGTCCTCCTCTGAGCATCCTCACCAACCAGCTCTCTCTACATCACACTTGTAACCACGCTGCCACTTCCCAGCACCAAGCTGCATTGTACATCCAATACAACATGTGGGCAGAGAGCACATTGTGAGTTTCCTTTCTCCATCCCATCCTGAGTGTGAACACAAATCCATACCTCCACAGTCTCATCATCCCTAATTATGCAGCCAAAATATCTGAGCCTCTAAGATTGTACCATCGTATGATATGTTTTCCCATGTTGATGTGGGGGCTTGTCTATGGCAGCGCCCGGTTGCAAGTCACCAGCTGACGCTGTTAGAATAAAGTCTACAAAGAACGTGGTTTATGATTCAAACCTCTCACATGGCGCAGTGAGTAGGATCCCGGGGTCCGACACGCCATTACAGCCCTGACAAGAACGCTTACATGGCCTCTACACGTCCACGATTCTCGACGCCCTCAAGGGGACGCCAGGGCATCTCTACACCGGCGGGGGAACACCACGCTCGCCCAGCAGCAGGCCCTGAGTGCATTGATGGCTCAGATGGCATCTCTAGTTGCTGGCGGTGGTCATGCTTCTATGCCGGTTATGAAGCCCTCAGCAGCTGTCGCCCCAGAGAAGTGTGAGGCAGAAATGCCAGCAGCTGCGTTTAGGACATGGAGGTGGTCCATGGAGTCATGGGTGCTGTTGAACGGGTGGTCACAACTGGTGACCACACTCCACATTCGCCTGAACTGCGTCCCTGCACTCCAAAGGGTGATTGACTCGAGATATCCCAGTGGTCAGTGGGAGCAGCTCTCGCCCAAGGAAGCCCTGGATGCCATCAGTGGAATGGTTCTTCAGTCTTCAAACCAAGCTGTGAAATGGAACGAGTTTTTCAACAGCAAACAAGGCGAAGAGGAGCCCATGAAAAGGTATTTTCAACGCTGCTTCGCAGAGGTAGTGACATGTGAATTTAAATGTCCCACCTGTCCCGCCTGAGTAACCCAGTGTTGAAAAGGGAAATTTTCCAGGGTACTCAAGTTATAATAGTGTTGAAGTGCTTAGAAACAAATGTATGTTATTTGAGGCAGCAGTGAGAGATGCTGGTGTATTGTGTTGTACGTCTGGCCAGGCAGTGGTGGGAACAGCCACGGAGGCAGCGGCGGTTGGTGATGACGTCACCGGTGAGTCTGAGGTAGCTGGCGCCCGACCTGGACACCCCAGTCGCGTGCACTGTGGTAACTGCAGCATGTCACATGCCTCTGGTAAAAGTAACTGCCCTGCAAGTGGGGCCACATGTCGCAATTGCTCTAAGGTTGGTCACTTCAAAAGGTGTTGCAGGAGTAAGTCAGTCCTAAGTGCTCCTGTGGATGTGTCAGGTGCTGTCACAGAGGCAACAGCCCAGCTATCCCGCCACCCCAGGTTACAAGTGTTCGTGACCCAGGCTGGGGGCAATTCCCTCGCCATCCCTGTGCTGGCTGTGGCTGACACGGGTGCTATGGTGTTTGTGGCAGGGGCATCCCTGCTCCAGGACATCGGTTTGTGTCCAGGGCAACTTTGGGCCCGTAACGGCCTGAGGGACGTGGCGAACAAACAGCTCAAATGTCTGGGGTCCGCCCCCTGCCGCCTCAGTGTGGACGAGAGGTCCACTGTCCAGGAGGTCTACTTCGTGCAGACAGCCAAGGCCCTCTACCTGTCATTGGAGGCCTGCAGGTGCCTCAACTTGGTGCCTGTCAACTTCCCGCTCCATAGACGTGCTGTGGCTGCCGTGGGCGATGGAGGGGAGCGGCACACTGCTGACGACCTACCTCCGAGCCCTTTACCTGAGAGCAGCCGTTTCCCACCGAGGCCAGTTGAGATACCCTTGCCTCCTTTGGAGGAGAATGTGGCCAGGTTGGAGGCATGGCTGCTCACGCACTTTACATCTACCACATTCAACACCAGCAGGTCCCCACTGCCAGTCATGACTGGTCCCCCCTCACCGTATCCACCTGACGCCCGGCACGACCCCTACGCCTGTCACACACCTGCTCCCGTTCCGAAACACTGGGAAGCGGAGGTGAAGGCCCAGTTGGAGGAGGACGTCACGAGAGGCGTCATCCAGCCAGTGCCTGCTGGTGAGGCTACGGAGTGGTGCGCCAGGATGGTCGTGGTGGCAAAGAAAAGCGGTCAGCCCAGGCGCACCGTAGACTTCCAACGCTTCAATGCAAGTTGTCTGAGGGAGACGCACCACACACCTGCACCATTCGACATGGTGTCTGGGGTGCCAGCGCACTCGTTCAAAACCGTCGCCGACGCCTTTTGGGGATTTCATCAGGTGGAGTTGGAGGAGGAGAGTAGACGCCTGACCATGTTCATCACGCCGTGGGACCATTTTCGATACTGCAGGACGCCCATGGGACATTATTCAGCGTCAGATGCCTACACCAAGAGGTTTGACGACGCTATTCAGGATGTGCCCCGCAAGTACAAGTGCGTAGATGACACTCTCCTGTATGACTCCAGTGTGAAGGGGGCGTTCTGGCACGCCTACGATTTTCTGGAGACATGCGCTAGCCTAGGTATCACACTGAAACCAGAAAAGTTCTTGTTCTGCAGGAGAAAAGCTGAGTTTGTGGGTTTCCTCCTGGGGTGGGACCTCTACCAGCCCACTGCCCAACGTCTGTCAGCTATCAAGGACTTCCCCATGCCTGATCAGCCATCAATCACTGACATCAGGTCCTGGCATGGCCTGGTTAACCAGTTGGTTCCCTTCCTTGCCACTGCACCTGTGATGGAGCCCTTCCGTGAGCTCCTCAAGAAGCCAGTGGGCAAGCGGATGTATTAGGACGACCAGCTGCGGCTCAAGTTTCGCCAAGCCCAGGACACCATCTGTCAGTTGGCAAGGGACGGCTTGATGTACTACGATAAATCCAGGCCTACGGCAGCTGTCACGGATTGGAGCAGGGAGGGCATCGGCTTCGTCATCCTGCAACAATACTGTGCCTGTGCCTCTCCAGAGACGCCCTTCTGCTGTAGGGGAGGGTGGCGGTTGGCTCTGTGCAGTAGCCGATATCTGAGCACGGCCGAGGCCGGTTACGCTGCAGTAGAAGGGGAGGCCCTGGCTGTGGTATGGTGCCTGCGCAAGGCCAGGCTGTTCCTCCTTGGCTGCCCGAACCTCATTTTGGTGACGGACCACCACCCCTTAGTTGGCTTGCTAGGGGACAGAGCCCTCATGGATGTGGCGAATCCGCGCCTGTTCAGGCTCAAGGAGAAGACCCTGCAGTACCGGTTCACGGTCAAGTACTTGCCAGGGAAGCGGAACTGTGCAGCTGACGCCCTATCCCGCTTCCCCTCCCTCAGGGCAGCGCCCGACGTGGAAGACACGGACCAAGAGGAGGACCTATGCGCTGCAGTGTGTGCAGTCACAATCGCAGCACTGGATCAGGATGGGTGCATCACTATGGACGAAGACACAGTGTGCAAAGCGGCTGCGGACGACCCAGTGTACCAGATTCTACTGTTGAGGGTGCTGGCGGGCGACTGGCACCCCCACAAGTGACAGGAGGTGGGCTGTCTGCGCCCCGTACTTCTCGGTGAGGAACAGGTTGGCTGTGGTCAGGGGTTTGGTCACCTACACCTTTGACCAGGGCTGCGTGCGCCTTGTCATCCCCGACTCCCTCTGCCACTGGGTCGCCGTTAACCTGCACGTGGGGCACCAGGGCCAAGACTCAATGCTCAGGCGGGCCCGGCAGTCTGTCTATTGGCCTGGCATGGAGGGTGACCTGCAGTATCATCGGTCCTGGTGTGCTGCTTGCGAGAGCCACGCCCCTTCCCAGCCTCCGGAGTCGTTAGTTCTGACCCCAGCGCCAGACTATCCCTTTCAACAAGTGGTGGCCGATTTGTTCAACCTGCAGGGCCACACATACCTAGCATATGCTGACCGACTCACAGGTTGGCTGGAGATCGCCCACTTCCCCAACGAGGCCACCTCTGGAAAGATCATCGCCCGTCTGCGGGCCTACTTCACGAGGTGGGGGGCACCTGAGCAAATCTCCACAGATGGAGGTACCAACCTTGCCAGCCTTGAGATGACAGATTTCCTCAAGTCATAGGGGGTCGAGGTGCGCCTCTCGTTGGCCCACTTCCCCCAGTCCAATGGCAGAGCAGAGGCTGGGGTCAAGGCCACCAGGAGGC